ATGATATTTCAGTTTTCCTTTTTAATAAATTTACAGACCTTTCTAAAATTCTGTTTTCACTTGCTCATTATGGGGTACTGAGTGTAGATTAATGAGAAAAAAATGGATTTGAACAATTGTAGTATCAGGCTGCAACATAACAAAATTGAAAAAAAGTGAAGGGGGTCTGAATACTTTTCAAATGCACTATGAGAAAAAAATGGATTTGAACAATTGTAGTATCAGGCTGCAACATAACAAAATTGAAAAAAAGTGAAGGGGGTCTGAATACTTTTCAAATGCACTGTACATACATAGATATTCAGTATGGATTTCCTGTTTGGCCATCATGATAATAGCTACCAGTAAGCATTTTTTCCTGGAGTTTCTCTAATATCTATTTTAAAAGTTACCAAATGTCTAATCTGTGTCTGGAGGAGAAAACAATAGAATTGGGAGGTGCCAACAGTATGACTTCTGGCTACAAAGAGATTATCACATTTATAATACAAACTTCTGCCAAATGTATATACAGACACATCATTGCTATTACCAACATATGAGGAAGAGTTTTGTGATAGGGTTGTGATAGACTCCTTTTTATGTGGGAAAGAATTTGAAAATGAGGTATGAAGTGGTATAACAACCCTTTTTCCAAGTATACAGTAGTTGCCTCTTGCTTCATGGGGCAATGGCATGTGGGCTCAGCAAAGAGTCATTGCTAGGTCTTGCAGCAGCAAATTGTAGGTCCACATAATTCTGCTCCCTGAGGCCATGCAGAAACGGTGAGCCTGTCTTTCTACGTTAGGATGCATCATACCCCAGGACCAAAGAAGTTACTTTGGGTGCTGAAATGGAAAATTTCACGCACCTCTCCCTCGCTCCCTGGAAGTGACATCCACCAATAATAGCTAATTGCCTAATGGCAGGGTTAGCCTTGAAATAGCACAAATTACCTGCATATCTCACTCAATCTTAGATACTCAGTATGGCAAAGCCAGAGTCCAAGCGTTCCTTTCTAAAACCAACATACCACTTTGGATCTTTGACCCAAGTTGGGCAGTCTTGGTTGAGCCAGGCAGTAAACCAGAATACAAGATTCATCCCTCTTCCGTCCTAATGAGATCACCTTCCCTGGCTCAGCCAGTATCCCTAACAGCTCCTTTTTGGGGTGCTGTTGGTTGCCTGCCTCCCTTACAATTGGGAGGGAGAGGTTGGCTTTTGGCCAACATAATGAACAGCTCTTAGCTAGAGCAGAGCTGGTATTGATCGCTGCTAAGTGCTGGTTGTTCCTTCAATGCTGATTCAGAGGTTGATTCATGCAGGAGTGTCCAATCAAGAGGCGGTGGGGGAAGGAGAAGACTGAGAAGGACTACTGGTCCTGGTGTGAGGTAGCCCATCGCCTAGGCTTGGTGGAAGACGCAAATTAATCTAACACTCCAGTGTAGCACAATGACTGCAATGGCAACTTGGGGCTTAATAAGAAAGACTGGCCTTTATTTGGATCAGGCACCGCCTACACTGTCTGCCAAGTAGAATGTGCAATGAGAAGAATTCTGTCACCACTTCTGTTTCCCAAACAGCAAGACATGGATTTCCATAGCAAATTCCAGCAATCCACCTTAACAGTGAATTCCCATTAGATTAATTCCTTAGTTGTTCAGGGGCTTAGCCCCATAGTGCATTGTGCTGTTCCTTTCATTTGTTGAAAAGCTGCATCGTGGCTTTTCAGTGGGCAGCAGAAACACCCTTTCTTCTACATGTGCCTTTTGCTGAATGTTCTGTACAGGGAGATTGCTTAAAAGTTGCACAACTGCTGAATCATTCTAATAACACAGGAGGTTTTTGGAGGTTCTATCCCTGCCCCAGCAATGTGGGATTTGAAAAGGTTAGAGGTGATGATTTCATGCGAGGCTGTATTATTGAAAAGCTATACGTGTATTATATACACCCACATGCACACACACACCCCTTGGTTTCTAAGTCGAGATTTAGCTGCACAGCTCTCAGTTTAGACTGCAAGTGATCAGCTGCTTTTCAGTTTAAAGGAAATGCGACAAGTGAACTTGGTTTGTTGGTGGAAGTACAAAAATCTGGCTTTTCTAGCTCTGGCCCAAGTGACTAGAAATTGAGCAAATGATTCCTTACCTATCACATGTCAACAAACTCTTCACCTGTTGAATTCCTGCCTAGCATGCCACTGTTAGTACGTCCAAAAACCTTGAACATCAGAAATAAATGTGAAAATCTTACAGCTGATTTAAGTTTTATTGGAGAAGAACAGTGGGCTGGTAAGAAGATAGTCATCTCGGGGAAATTCTGATTTGGTATGGTTACTCTTGCCACCAGTTTGAGCCATTACAGACCTATTTCAAAGCTGTACATGGGTTCTTCATAAGAATTTGCGTGTTCAGAAGAGGAACATCCTGATAGAGCCGGTTAGGGAATTACAGCACAAAGTTCACACTGAACCCCACACAGCCATATGATTCTTCTACTGGGTGTGTTCCCTTCTGGAATGTTTTCCCCAGGACAGAACAATTCTATACCTTAAGTTCCTGCTACATCAAATTAAGAAAACCCCTCTCATCTTTTGGAGCTCACCCATCCCCTTCCCATCTCCCAGCTTTAAGGAACTTAGTGTCTTAGTTCTCCCAAGTTTATGAACCATTTTCAAATACAGATTGTTTCCCCAAAATCCTGTATTTTAAAGTATCACAGTTCTTTAAACGATAGCTTTGGATATTGCTAGGGCTGCCATATCTGGGTGACAAAACTCCAGATTCCCTCTAGGTGGCAGTGAGGGGTTAGTGTTTTCAGTATTTTGCCTTTTAATGGTGGTCTGGATTTTTGCAGCCTAGATAGGGTAGTCCTTCCTCAGCCAAAGAGCTTGATTCAGAAGCATCAAGGAAGCACTGTTCTTTGCATGTTGATAATATACTTTTCATACAATTGCCAACAAGTTCCTCACTGCATCTTTTCCTTTTTGCTATGAATCTCTCCACTCTCTAAAAACAGTATCTTTCTCCTGCCCTTTTTGAAATGGCTTCCCAATAAAACACTTTAGAGGCTGCAAAGGTTTACTTAGAACTGGCTCCCAATTAAGAGTTTGTGGAAAGCTGGACAGACTCAAAGACTGGCTATCCATCAGCCATCAATGAGCTTGGCCTTCACTGAATCAAATGAAGGCACCCCAGCTCCCTTAGTTTATTTGTCAGGAATCAAAATAGCCAGGGTTAGGGTCAGGGTTATACTGTATAACCGTATCCCATCAAGGTATATGAAAGATGTTCCTTAATTCTCAGTGCATTCTCTGCACATTATAAAAGTTGACTGCAGTACTCTAATTTTGCAGAGGAACAGGGCATTGGATTTTTCCCTCTGATCAGGGATTTCAACTCTTCTGGGGCAATGTTCTGCTTTGCTGGCTTGGTTCTCTGACATGGCATACAGGGCTACCCCATCATGTCTGTCACTTTCTTATTACACCTTTAACAGCAGTAAATGATTTGCAATTATAAGCAAGCACTTACCTCCATTTCTCTGAATGGGAACTCTTCCTATGCAGGTCTCAGCAGAGCAGACTCAGAGAAAGGTATCCAGCCTGGAAAAGTCAGCGGGATTAATTGTCCTGATACCTAGCAATCACAGAAGCGACAGGAAGTTTTAAGAGCTCTCTGTTTCTTTCATATCTTTGTAATAGACAGAAATCAACAGGTCATTTTTTTTCCATAGAGCAAAAGAGCCGTACCTGTTGATTTCTGACTGTCGTTCAGCTGTAAAAATCCATATATAGTCTACACACCCAGAAAGAAAAAGACAGGAAGTTACTTTATAGTAGGCCAAGGTTCACACATAATGCTAAGCCATGAGGTGGGGGGTTTAGCTTGGCTTAACACTGTGCATGAACTAGGCCACTCTGTCTTGTTCAAGAAATCATGGCTAAACAAACAGTGGTGTGGCATAGATGAGAACCTACGTCCATCTACTAGGCATCCATATCTGGGCTATGCAAATCTGAAAGACCATTAGATGGTAACACAGGGAACTCTCAGACCCTTTGCTCTGATCTAGATGTCATCTGCATTTTTACAGCCCAAAGTGGGTTTACCATCGACCCCAGCACTGTATTTTCTGATTAAAGCAATTCTTCAGGGTCTTCCCTGAAAGCCTTTTCTGTCAGCAGTTACTTCATGCTTTCACCTGGAGATATCAGGGAGTGAACTATTGGGGCTTTTCTACATCCAAAGCATGTTCCTGACCACCATTGTATGTTTGCCTTGAAATGGCGCATAGTATTTGGATCTCCAACCGTAATCATGCATGCAAAGGAAAACAGTGATTTGCAGGTGAGCTACTGGAAGGAAAAGCTGCTTCTTTTCTTTATCCTGTCCCCAACTCTGCTCAATATTATTTGGCAGAAGGAGGAAGATGGGGTAAGTGGTAAAAATGCACATATGTTTGTAAATGGCTTGGGCAACTAGTGTCACCCTCAGGGCCCCCAAAATGGCACACCCTTGATTTGTAGTCCACAGAGCCACAATCATCTTTGGCTCATTAAATTTTGCCAAATTAAGATAAATCAAATTGTGGCTTAGGGCCATGTGTGAATGGAGCCTTTTTCTCTGACCTAGTTCATACATTGAGTTAAAAACATGAGGTCATTAGTATGGCTCTGGTTTTGCAGGCTGGGTAAAATTGTCTTTACAGTGTATTATGACACCGGGCAATGTATTGTGGGAAGTTACTGAGATTTATGTTATTATTTATTTACTACATTTTGAAACCAGCAATCAGCAACAGCTGCTATCCCCTAAACCATGAATACAGAACTTCATGGCTAAAGATAATTGATGTGAGCCGATTTAAGGTTTTTTTAAGGCTTCCTGGGCTGGAGAAGAGGCAAAGAGTTCCCTTCCCCATATTTCACTTTCTCTGGGCTGAAAAATATCCCATGCAGTGAATGAGAAAATAGGCGGTCTTGCCCCCGATACACGACGAGGTGCAAAAAAGCAACGCATCCCGCTTGATTGAGAAACGATCTCAGGCGCCTGCGCTGCGCTCCAGACTCTGCTAATGGTCCCCTTTCCAGCAGGAGGGGCGGCGAATGCGACGCAGCCGAGGGAGCTCTTGACCCGCCACGTGGCTGCGATCACGTCAGAAAGCGGCCTCGGCTCTCAGTTCCCCCCTCCCCGGGTTACCGTTTTGCTACCATCATCCACATCTTCATTCAAAAGGATGAGCCCACCCAACCACCTCTTCCTAAACTTGGTTAGGACCTGTGCAGTCGGGGTGTTCTAGTAAGGCCTGAAGTATCTTGACTCGCGGGGTTGGGTGGAAAATGGCTTGGCTCATTTAAAATCGGAATTAAAGAACCGCGCGGCCCGGCGCGCGCCGTCCCACAGAGGCGGCGTTTCCTCGCTCCTCCCGCCTTCAGGTGCGGCGCGTTCCTTCTCTGCCCTAGCCGGGCCCATCAGGCCAGGGGGAGTCTGACTCGCCGATGGTTCAGCGGCTGCCGCTTTCCCCGTATTTCAGGGCGTTTACCGTCCCTGAAACGAGTAGGGTCTTACTCCGTATTGCTTTAAACTGGAAGAGAAGGAGAAGCGTGAGGTCAAATGTGGGGAAGATCTTCTTGCTCAGAGAGAACCAGCACAGGAATGAAAGGTTCCTGGGTACAGGGAGGTGGGTACCCCTGTCCGATTGAAATAGCGTTCAGACTTGTAAACTCCCCACCCCTTTTGGAACAGGAGATGGTATAATCTACAAAAGACAGCTTTACTACTCGTTTCTCCTGCTGGTTGGTTTTGGGTTGGTTCTTGGTCTAAAGAAGAGTGCTGATGTGCTTGAGAAGCAACCAAGAAGATGTATAAGCGGCCAGTTTAAGAACAGCCTTGTAGATATTTGGAATTTCAATCCATGCTTGTTCCCCAGTTTCTGCGACTGAATGAACATCAATGTCTTAAATTTGCTCATTTCCTTGAGTTTCTGTTTGGACATGCGACATGACATCTCATAGCTCATAATATGTAGCCATATCTTGCATTAGCTACAAGGCCCACTTTTGAGGTGCACACATGGAGTTCTCTCTCCTTGCCTCCGCCCAACATGCTAAGTCATAATAATAAGGCTCAGGGTGGCACCTTGTGATGCCTGAACCCAATCTCAGGAGTGCTTAAAGAAGCAAACACATATCCATGAGCAGAACCAAGACCAAGTAGGCAAGACCAAGACCAGGGAAATGTGATTTAGGTCATCAAATTAAATGCAATTAAAGTTAAATCAATTAAACTTAATATTGCTATTTCCCTTGTATGCTATTTCCTCCTTAGCTGGGAGTGAGGTATACGCAATTCAGATGCATCTCTGCAACTATTCTCTTTGCTCCAGCTGGGGAAGAAGAATACTGACTTAGCTTGCAGGTTTGCTGTAAGCATTATTGAGGAATAGATGTGAAATGAGTTGAACATACAGGCTACCATAATAAAAATATTTAGGATGTTGATTAATGCTGTTAATTTAATAACAGGACACGATCCCATAACAGAATACAATAACAATAACAGGACACATAATTCTGTGCATCAAATTTTGCTGACAATGTCCTTCCACCTCCATACCTTTGCTATTAAAATTGGATTTCTTTGCTTCTGAGGTTGGTAATGTGGTTCTTGGTCCTTTCTTCCTACATTTCTGCTGGCATGATGAACTATCTGTCCAGCATAATCCACCAGGCTTCCCTTTCACTCCTTGCTCTAGCCAATTCACATTTTAGCTTTCTGCTAAAGGAAACCAAAGTCCAAGCAAGCCATTATCCTCTCCTGGAGAGGCCATATGTCTTCATGGGCATCTGCCAGCCGGGATTTTCTCAGGTCAAGAGGAGCTAGATTCAAGTACCTTGGAGGGGGGCAGGGGAAGAGGGGGTCCTAGCGATTGTGCTGTTGGGATGACAGGGAATTGCATGTGAAACAGAGTATGGTGAAAGGGAGCATCTAACCCTAACCTTAGGATGGGGAGGGAGAGACATTAGGAATGTGGAGAATAAGTTGTGAATACTGCCACAAAAGAGTTGCTAGGGAGTACGCCACTGACTTTGTCCACAGAGAACAAAATCAATTACAAAGCACTGCTTTATTGAAATTCTACTAATCTGCTCCTTCTAGTTCCTCCCCCCACTTTTGCAGGACTTTCCCCTTCCTCCTATTGTCCATTTTCTTGCCAGATGGACAAATTTCCAAACGAAGGCTTGGGCTACACGCCACCTTCATTTTAATTCTACAGAAGTTTAAGGGGCCCATGTGGGGGCCAGGGGCATTCTTGGAATAAAGATGATGCTGGTGGTTGACTATATGCTAGCTTTGCATTATTACACTTTTATGTAATAATTGCATTATTACATTTCTCTACAAGCACTTTGGGGCCCATGGATGCTATGCCAGGAATCCCTGCAGTAAGTAGAGCAAGTTTTCTTTCCCAACACGTGGATGAAGCAGTCATTTACTCATTCATTTATGTTGACTGCTTGCCATTATCAAAAACCCAAGGGCCTAAGCAGGAGAAGATGACAATCGTCATATTTGGGCAGGTTGGGTGGGCTTCAGAAGTGATGGGGGAATGAGAATCCATCCTAGTCACTGAGTGTGAAGAACTAGGAGTAGTAAAAGTTGCAGCTGCATGCTGCTTTGGGCAGAGAGTTGCTTTTTTTTTTTTTTTTTTTT